AAAAAAAAAAAAAAAAAAATTGTCCCTCTATTCAAAGTACTGGTGTTTTTCTTCCTCTTTTATATACTTCTCCTGTCAATCCACGAATGTCAACACAGCTCAGCTTACATTCCAGGCAGATCAGTCCTTTGCCCATGCTATGAACCCCAATAATAGTAATCTTATTTCCCGTGCCCCACTGTGGGCACTCTCTAACATCCATCCCTATTTTCCTGCCCTGTGTGGGAAGTTTCTTAGCTAATGCCCCTAGCGGCTTTGCTTTTAACTCCCATTTCTAGGCTCTACAATTTCTGCTATCAGGTGACATTTATAGAGAACTAAATTCAGGCCCTAGCTATTTCTCTCCAATAGAAACCCCATCCTGTCTCATCTTGCTTTCAAGACCATCCATTTTCTTTTCTTTTTTTTTGAGACAGTTTCACTATGTTGCCCTCGGTAGAGTGCTGTGATGTCACAGCTCACAGCAGCCTCCAACTCTTGGGTTTAAGCGGTTCTTTTGCCTCACCTCCCAAGTAGCTGGGATGACAGGCACCCACCACAATGCCTGGCTATTTTCTATTGCAGTTGTCATTGTTGTTTAGCTGGCCCAGGCCCGGTTCAAACTCATTAGCCTCGGTGTATGTGGCTGGCAGCATAACCACTGTGCTACAGGCACCGAGCCAAGACCATTCGTTTTCAAACCTTCCCTCTTAATGAGGCAAATGAACTCAGTTGGGTAGATACATCCCTTCATCCATAGGTCAGCAGGAATCAGTTTCAGAAGAAAGAGACCTCTATCCATAGACTCCAGGAATTTCTGAGTTCATTGTTTAAAAAAGAAATGTAGGGGGCAGCACCTGTGGCTCAGTGAGTAGGGCACCAGACCCATATACCGAGGGTGGTGGTGGGTTCAAACCCAGCTCCGCCAAACTGCAAAAAAAAAAAAAAAAAAAAAAAGAAAGAAAGAAATGTAGGCTCAGCACCTGTAGCTCAAGCAGCTAGGGCACCAGCCACATACACCAGAGCTGGTGGGTTTGAATCCGACCCAAGCCCGCCAAACAACAATGATGATAACTACAACCAAAAAAAAAAAAAATAGCTGGGCGTTGTGGGGGGTGCCCGTAGTCCCAGCTATTTGGGAGGCTGAGGCAAAAGAATCACTTAAGCCTAAGAGTTGGAGGTTGCTGTAAGCTGTGATACCACAGCACTCTACCTTGAAACTCTGTCTCAAAAAAAAAAAAAAAAAAAAGAAAAAAGAAAAGAAATGTAGGCCTGGCTCAGTGGTTCACGCCTATAATCCTAGCACTTTGGAGGCCGAGGCAGGTGAATTGCTTGAACTCAGGAGTTCCATACCAGCCTGAGCAAGAGTGAGACCAGGTCTGTACTAAAAATAGAAAAACTAGCCAGGCATTCTGAGGCACCTGTAGTCCCATCTGCTGGGGAGGCTGAGGCAGAAAGATCTCTTGAGCCCAAGAGTTTGAGTTTGCTGTGGGCTATGATGCCAGGACACTCTACCCAAAGCAACAGAGTGAGACTCTGTCTCAAATAAAAAAAAAAAAAGAAATTTAATTTTAATCAGAGAAAGGAGGGAATTAAAGGAGAGGCCTTGCTGAAATAACAGGAAAATATCTAACCTCACACTTTCCCAAATGAAAGTTAATCCTATGAGTTCTCTCACTAACAGGCACCCTGTGGGAGTTCTGTTTTGCACAGCTTTTGAAAAAAGCTGAACAGATGGAAAAGAGATGTAAATCTTTCTCTTTAAAATTGCTTTTGAGAATCTGCATTTTTACAGTTCCGGAGTAAACAGCAGGGGTCCCTGACAAAAACTGTATCTTGAGGGCAGAGTCACACCTCTAGCAGTAAAGCCTTTTTCCAATGAAAGGCACTGGAACCAACTCTTGGACTTTGACATCCTGCCATCGTTTCTGTTATCAACTGACAGCGATCGCCATTTTTTCTTTCTCTCTGCAGCAAGCCACTTTGCCTCAGTGCCTGTACCTCCATTCTCTTTTCTCTTTCCTTCGGATGCCACATCCTTTCCCTGCTCTCTTTATCCCCGCCCCCCCCTTCCCCTCTCTCATCTAAGAAGATAAAATGAACTTGTTTACTTTTATATATCCTAATCTCCGTGTGGGACATTTCTGTTTACCTGTGCTGTGAGTTCCTAGTGAGTTTTCGGACTCTAACTGCAGGGCTTGTGGATGTTTGTCTCACTTGCTAAATGACAGTGGTCTTGCATAAGAACTCTGCAAAGGAAAATGACTATTTGTTGGTTAAGGGGAGGTGGCTGAGGTGAGGAATTGTTTGCCTTGGGACACCCATACTGCTTAGGCTTAAGAAAGAGAGCAAAAGAAAGTCTCAAATGAATCCCCAAATAAAAGTAACGTCATGTGGCATTCTTAGGATGAGGGGTATGTAGTAAGGGTTATGGTATCACAGCAACTGACTCCACGAGTTTTTCACTTAAGGTTTGATAACCCCAGTCTATGTCCAAGTCAAGTGAGACAAAGTTGAATTTACCCATCAGGTAATCCAGTGAAGGGCTCTATTTCAACCCTATTATTTTATTTGCAGAATTGCAAGTTTTCCTGGAGGAGTTCATGGAATGTGTGGAAAAACAG